TAGCTCAGGGTTGAACTATGGAGTCCTTGGTGCTCGCTGAGCTTGGTGGTTTGATTGCAGACGTTTCATTACCCAACTAGGGAACATCATCAGTGCTGGTGAGTGTGGGGTTTGCTCCCTGTTTATATACAGTGGCTTGCCCTGCCAGTGTGGGTGGGGTGTGGTTTTCTCCTTAATCTCACAAGACATGGACAGACTCATTCCCAGTTTCGACAGGGAAACTATGAGCATTTTAGAGCAAGCTAAATCCAAAACCGCTAGGGAATTCCCTGAAGCTTGGCATTCAGACAAATCAGCCATCATAGACATGCAGAGATAAACCACACCATTCAAAAGAGACAATAAAAAAGCTAAGAAGGAAACAAAAAGACCAGAACACATCCTCTCCAGCAGCCAACACATAGATAAGCAGGGATTAACGCCAGACAAACAGTCAAGCAGAGAACAATACTCTGATCAAGGCACTACCAAGGAGAAAACCACACCTCCACCCACACTGGCAGGGCAAGCTACTGGATATAAACGGAGCAAATTGTATATAACACATTGTATATACACATACTGTATATAAACACAGAGAAAACCCCACACTTAATAGCACTGATGTCGTTACCTAGTTGGGTAATGAAACGTCTGCAAGTGAACCACCAAGCTCAGAGAGTACCAAGGACTCCACAAATCACCTCTTTTAAGATGTGGAAAGACTTTGTCTTCACTGTGTTTTATCCTTTACGTTTATTAATTTTCTAGGGCTCAGTGCCCCTCCAGTCCTGTCTGCCTCTGAGTGGCTTGTACTTCCAGATAGGATTAAAAACAATATACAATCATATACATCAATAGCATGATGCACTTTCAGAGGTTGCATTTAGGACCTCTTGCAATTTGCAATAGATTTTCTCAATGTCTTCCCCCACTGGACTTGGGCTGGGGGCAGGAGTATCCAGGGAGGTCAAGCAAGTCGAGATGGCCTCCACTACCATGCAATTGAAGCCCAACTCTGTTTTTACATGCATTGAAACCTTAAAAAGGGTTGGGGCTTCAGGCAGATGTTTGTTGATGCCATCTTGACTTTTTTGACCCCCCCTTTGCAGACCTTTCTGAGTAGGGGCATAAATTTGTATAATATTTGACTCGGTTGCGATTTTTCTTAGCTTCTCTCTGTCTAATTTGTCTAGGATTGCTTCATCTCCAATTCTTTTCCCCGTTTTTCCCCAGTGGGTTTCTTCCTCCTAATGTGTGCCGTGATGACAGCCTCGAAAGATGTTTTGGCATACATTTTTACCAGTGACAAGTGAGTATTGCACAGCCAAAAGGGTCTCGCCCAGGCCAGAAGAGACTTTGCCAACAGTTCCAAAAGAACTCAAAAATTCACAAAAAGCCAGACTTAGGGTGGCACGTGGCAGCTGGGTTAATAATAGTCTTTCAATCTTTTTTATTCATTTGATTTGTTTCCAGGAGCTAAAGGCGGTATACTCAATGTATATTCCTCCCATTTTTCTCCATAACACCCCTGTGAGGTAGATTGGGCTGCGAGAGAAGGCCCAAAGTTCCCCAGGGTGCTTCTGCAGCTGAGTGTGGACTTGAACCTGGGTCTCCTAGTCCAACCCCTTCATCAAAATGCTCCACTGTATTGAATGTGTTCATTACTAATTCGTGCTGAATGGAACATCAGTGTTCTGAACTGTTTGATTAATAATCTGCAGACTTCATTCTGCAGGTCTGTGAGATCCCGGGTGGCAGGGGGGCCCACGCCTCTGTTTTTTCCAGAATATTTAAGACAAAGTTCTTGGATTCATGTAGGTTAGGCTGCTGGAAAGAGAAGTTCTTGCTTAGAAGATGCTGGTGATGGTGACGACAGTGATGATGACAATGATGATTTTAACCTATTTGTCTAAATAGGGAGGTGGTTGACCTCGTGGCTTCA